TGTTCAGACTTCTCTATTTTCCCCACACACTGTAAATAAAACATGTGATTGGAATGTCTTCCATTTGTTTTTATTTTCTGTTTATATTTTGATGATATTTCATCATCACCATGGTAACCCGTAAGACCCATGTTAATATTTTTAAAATTTAAAATTCATCTTTCGTGCTTATTTGTGAGCCTAATTCAATTTATACAGGGATTCTGCACATCTACTGGTAAATATCTTTCATTGGGTACCAACCACGTGTAATTCGGTCCAGTAGTATGGTCAGGCTAGCTGTCATAAGTTTTGCAAAAGTTTTTTAGCAGGCCTATTCAAGATAGAGTGAGATATATTGTTTATGTATGCATAAACAAGTACATAGGCAAATACTTTAAGCATTGCCTATTGACTTTGACTATTCAAATAGACAATGCTATTGGATACTGATGTTTTTAGCATAGACTAAGCAACACATACACTATGGGAGTGTGTTTTTCTATGTTTTTAGTAGGACCAAGATCAGCTGTTTCTTTGGCGACAATTTATCAAAAGTTCAATGCTCAAGGACAGCTGGATTTAGTTTCGAAACATCAACAAGTTTCTCGAAATCCTTTAGAACCGAAACATCAATATTTTAATTGCTAGGCGTGCAACAAGACCTCTGAAAGTTGCCCAACTGTATGAAAGATATTTTTTAACCGGAGGGGTTTCCTAACCTTCCGAAGCATGATAAAAAAACGTAGAAAAGGTCTATAAAATAAAATTACAATGAATGTATGTGTTTTTTTTATACGTAATTGGTATTGTTAACATGTTATTAAAAAGGACGGCTTATATCTTGGTCCTTATGCTATTTAACATAAAAACATTTGTAAGTTATCATAATCAAAATGTAAGGATAGCCCAATGACAAGTATAATCTAGGTCTAGAATCAACCCCTTAGAGGTCCAACCATATACCATAAAATATATCTATCCATTCAGCAATTCCCAGATCTGAAGGCGAGCACTACAGACACTCGTCCACCCGGACTATGGTTTATGTTTATAAGAATGTTGTACTTAATAGCAAGTTAAGAAGTTTTAGTATGCCTATATGGTTATTTTCTGCTAATATAGTAGTCGTTCATCATTCATGGTAAAGTTTAACGTTAAATTATTAGTTTATATTTGTCTTTGACTACAAATAGTGAACTATATACATAGGTACACTAAAAAACCCTATAGGACGATATATAGTACAGTAAAAATATGTTTTGACCCAAAAAAAATTAGCACAACCGGGGAATTTGGTAAAGATGTTGGGTGTACTGTACCTTCCTTTTGAACATACTAAAAGTCCCCTAAAATTGAAGCTGTGCTACGGCCGCCATATTGGAAAATGGCGGCATATTTCAGTATTTTTCGCTATAGTGACTTCATTATTAGAGATACAGGAAAAAGATAAATATACAAAATGTAGGTAATCTAAAAATACACATTTTTTGTATTTACCATCTTTCTCTAAACCCAACGGTTTTTGAGTTATTTGTTATTAAGTATATTTAGTTTTTTTCTGTTTATCAAAAATAGGTGAAACACGTGGAAATTGACCGTTACTATCAAGGATTATGATAATGTATTCTATTTAGTTAAATAGTATGATACTATAAAATCTCAAAATTTAAGCTTATTTTATGAGTAAAACAACTACGCCACAGCAAACCTGCAGACTCAGCAAATTTCTATTTGATTGGATGTTTTATTAAAAAATGTATATAAATAAAATTAGGTTCAACAGGTACCTAGGTTTGCTGCTACAGGTAGGTTATTATAGTGTGTTTTTTTTAAGTAAAATATCAATACCTTACAATAAAATAACTAATTTTCCAAGTTTGATCAAAATATATCTATAAACAAGCAAACTGCAATAGTTAACTAATTCATAAGAATAGCATGGGAGTTTTAAATTTACAATAAACGAATTTGAATATACAAATTTTGCTTGTGTTTACTAAAAAGGTGGCGATTATTCGTCACGATTAGAATATTAACCAAAGGGGTTTTCAAAAGGAGATGAAGCAAGTAATTTAAGTACTGTAATATTAACTCGTACCAAGTACCGAAAATATTGTATGCAGTGAGGAAATTAACCATATTTTGTAAACTACGCAATAGTCATATTAATATTTTATCTTCATTTTTTACCCATTTAATAGTTAACATTTTAGTATTTTGATGGCACCACCACACTAACTAACTATACTTGACATCCCATTGTAAATTTGGAAGGGTGTTTTTCGTGTCTAGTTCATGTTGGTGACTAATTAAGTATGGTATAGTATAGTTTGTTTTATTTATCAAAAATCGGTGAAACCCATCGCAATCGACGGTTACTTTCAAGGTTTACGACAATTATTCATCCCACTTAGTTGATATCAGAGTGATAGTGGTAAGCCATCAAAATATTAAAATGTTAATTTATTAAATGGGTAAAAATGAGTATAAAATATTAATATGACTATTGCGTAGTTTACAAAATATGGTTGATTTCCTCACTGCATACAATATTTCCGATACTTGGTACGAGTTAATATTATAGTACTTTAATTACTTGCTTCATCTCCTTTTGAAAACCCCTTCGGTTAGTATTCGAATCGTGACGAATAATCGCAATCTTTTTAGTAAACACAACAAAAATTTGTATATTTAAATTTGTAAATTGTAAATCTTAAGCTAACATGCTTTTATTATTAATTAGTTAACTGTTGCAGTTTGTTTGTTTATAGATTTATTATGATCAAACTTGGAAAATTTATTATTTTATACTAAGTTATTGATATTTTACTAAAAAAACACACTATAATAACCTACCTATAGCAGCAAACCTAGGTACCTGTTGAATCTAATTTTATTTAAATACAATTAATAAAACATCCAATCAAATGAAAATTTGCTAAGTCTGCAGGTTTGCTGTGGCAGAGTTGTTTTACTTATAAAATAAGCTTAAATTTTAAGAGTTTATAGTATCACACTATTTAACTAAATGGGATAAATTATCATAATCCTTGAAAGTAACGGTCAATTTCCACGTGTTTCACCTATTTTTGATAAACAGAAAAAAACTAAATATACTTAATAACAAATAACTCAAAAACCGTTGGGTTTAGAGAAAGATGGTAAATACAAAAAATGTGTATTTTTAGATTACCTACATTTTGTATATTTATCTTTTTCCTGTATCTCTAATAATAAAGTCACTATAGCGAAAAATACTGAAATATGCCGCCATTTTCCAATATGGCGGCCGTAGCACAGCTTCAATTTTAGGGGACTTTTAGTATGTTCAAAAGGAAGGTACACCCAACATCTGTACCAAATTCCCCGGTTGTGCTAATTTTTTTTAGGTTTATGGAATTTTTCTCTTATTTTTACTGCACTAATAGGTGGTGGCAGTGTGCTGCTGCTGAATGTTATTTAACAAAACTGAGGAAATATCTAAATACTGTATATACTGAGGGTAAAAATGTTCACATACCACGAGAACAAATTTTGAAGACTTTTTAGTAACTTCTTGGTTGAAAATACTTTGAATCATTGGGTTCAAAGGTGTTAGACTTTTATTTTACTTAACTTTTTTATGTTAGTTTAAAAAACGTGACTAATTGTTTTATTAATTTAGGGAAAGAAGAATTGCAGCCTTTTTCTTTATATGATACCAGCACAACCCTTCGTAACTTCACTCACAAAAATTAAATTAAAAAATTAAATGTATCATCTGGTACCAAATAATTAAACAAATATTAGGCTAAATATGTAGTCTGAATAAAAGTTTTTTTATATTTATGTTAAATTAAAACCATTTATACTGTACATACTGTAATCACAAAAGTTTGGTAAACAAATGTGACTACTGAAGACAAACTAAGGGAGTACTTCATTTAAAATATTAAACTTTCCTTACACCAGGAGCTTGGGACTTTTCATTTTGAATTCTGAAACCAACGAAATACTCTACCTTTCTATCGATATAAAATGCCCTACCTACTCAATCCCTCGGTAATTTCTGTGAAGACATCTATGAGTGGATCTAGTCTTTCAAATTACACTGTTTGTTAACTCATTGTTAGGTGTCTGCACTTAGCCTATATCATAATTCTATTTTTCAATTCTTAGCAAATATGATTTGACAGTGGAACTGCGAGTCTGTTAGCGACATAGAGCGTTAGAGATCTTTGATTTGCGTTAGATCTTTGATCCTTTGATTATGCACAACCGTTTTCCATGTTACTTTACTATGGCCTGAAGCACCATGTAAAAATACTCGTAATTAAAACTGTTGAAATATATGTGGATTCTTTAAGTTGTGTTATGATGTGTGTTTTATTGATATTGTATAGCAACGAAAAAGCTAGGATTTTTAATTAGAGAGAAAAATATAATAAATCAACATTAATATGTTGCGCAACACTACTATAATTTCCATAACATGTATTCGTTTTTTTTTCATCCTCATTTGTTGTGAAGAATGGGTTTTGGTAGCTGCTAAAAACAAACAATAGTTATTTGTGTAACTAGTAGGCAAAGACAGAGTTAGCACTCGTGTTACACATTATATTTTTCCTACAGTTATATAAATTATTATTAGTCTTTCAAATACTGTACAACACTTTTTAAGTTAGGTTAATTCAAAAATTGAACGAAATGGGTGGGGAACGCTGCACCAGCTGATCGTAGTCGTAGTATCTCTGTGTTTCCAACTCATTTTCAAGCGTACATGGATTACGTGCATAATAAAAGCACGCTGTGTTGTTTAGTTTGGTTGGAATACTGGTGTGTGCCAAAGTAAAACCTGTGCGCCAAAGGCTTTCTGTACAATAATCTGTACAAGGAAGCCCACTTTGTCTGGTGACTGTAGGAAAATTATGTTTTGTTTTTATTGTTTTAAAACGTGGTAGTTTAACTGTGTTTTGCCTAACGATTGGACACAACTTTTTTAAAGTATGTGGTTCAGGAAGAAAAAGAGAGGAAAACAATTCAAATTATCACAGATATATTTACAATGAATATACAAGCAAATAGTAATTTACAAAAAATAGCACCATTATGCATAGCTTTTCCCTTAAAAATAGAATTAAGACACTAAACTTACGAATTATCTATCTACATTATAGTATACTAAGTCAGCCTAGTAAATACTAAGACGTTGTCTTACCTAACAAAATGTACATAATTAATGATAACTATAAACACAAATAACGTTTAAATAAGTACATAATGGAATAGAACACAAGACATCGAAGAAAGCCTAAATATCACATAATAGCTTAGGTTTTACCTATAAGAGTACCTCAGAGGATATTTTAAGGCACTAAAAGAATCAGTATTATTGTATACATTTTAATTAATGAATATACTTTCGGTTTCAGTTTGAATACCGCTTATAAGTTTATATTTAATTTTTCAAATAGCTAAATTGACGGTGTGATAAAAATGTGAGTTGTGCCCATAAACTGTTACTAAATGTCGTTGATATATTTTTTTAGTAGATGACAATATAACAAGGAGTCTTACAGATTCTAAATTGCAACTGGATGTTGATGGTTGTGATAATTAACAGGCTTACCCAACATTTAGCTGGAATTGTAATACTACTAGTAATGTGATTACTAAAATAATACTTTGGTTTGAGTAAAAAGTTGAACATTCTGTCAAAACAAGATGGAAACATGGAGTATCTTTTTGCAAGTTACAGGAAAATTTGTATTAAATTAAACTGTAAATTTTGGAATAGAGTACAATAATTTACTTGACCTCTATGTTGATGTCTGAGTTGATGTCACAAATTTACAGTTTCCCCCAATAATTATGTTAAAATTATGCAACAATTTTGTAAAACATTTTATCCTGAATCAGCACTAAGGTTTATAGAAACTTTGCCCTTTTAACAACGACACATAGTAATGGAAAAACATTTTTTTTATACCAAAAGGGAGAACAAGTTTGTCAACTTTCGGATTTTGAAGTAGTCATCTATATGTACCAGCTGCAACCAATCAATTCAAAAGAACGTCAAATTAGCCATTCACACAGTTTGCTGTGTATTCTATTTTCTCCCAGTGTATTTAGTAATAGTTTATCAGACTAAAAAGATATTATAGCTTACAAAATGATATATTTTACGATTGGTTCGCTTAAAAAATTGACGTATTTGACAAAAATCAGTAATTTACTTCATTGGATTCTGTCAGGGCTCAGATCAACTTCGTTCATTTTTATTACAAAACTGTCTACAAATTTATTATAAGAATAGAATGCCTACTTATATCCATAATCAACGCTGCAATGTATTTTTACTTTTATATGTCGTCATAAGTTGATCGGTAGTTCTTTTAAATCTGCCCTCCAGTATTCCATTCTCCTTCCATCCGCCAAACACTGAAGGCGTAGCTAAGCTTCTCATGTGCCATGTAGCTGCATGAGGTCATAGTGCGACCATTGGGGCTGGTCCTTCCTCCTGTAAAAACATAGGGTTATTGAAAGACATGTTTTATAAGGATTAGGAAAACAAGTTTTCACGTCTTTTTAGGATTTGTAATCTGGTTCTCCGAGTTGGAAAGTGCCTAAATTGTCAAAACTAATGTACACACCCATCTAGAGCTGGGAAATCGTCATACATTATTTCTGGTCAAACTCATGAAAGAAAAATAATACAAATTAGAGATGTTAGATTTAGTACAGATGGAAGGTAAGAGCACATGGACACTTTTACAGAATGTGGCTCAAATTTCCATGAGCAATACCATACACATGAAGTACCCCCACACTTAACGCAGCTGGCAAATAACAAAAGAAAAACAATACAGATAACTGCATTGTAGCTTTGGCTACTATAGTCAATGATAGTAGTCTTTGGACTACAAAAAAGACTTAAAGAAACCATAATCATCTAAAAAGTCATCTAAGAAAACAAAATTTCGTACAAATGTAGGGCAGGAGCCCACCCCAATGGTTGTCTGCTGGCTAAAATTTTCATCAATAACACAACAAAACTTCCATAAAAATGTCAAACTATGTTATGGCCCTTTTACACAGCATTGGGGGTTGTATTAATTTGTTTGAAAAATTTACAGTTCAAAAGTAATTTCAATTGCAATCTTTTGATTTTACCCATAAAATTACATAGTTACTCCCACCGCTTACGATTTATAAGGGGTTTTGACAAGCAGTGGGAGAAAGTAGCCTATGTTTCATATTGCTGATGCAATTTATTTTTTTATAGTTGGAACAAAACTTTGTAAAAGACATATCATTAGCTGTTATATAATTCGCTATTGCACGTAAATTGCAGGGAATAATTTACACTCAATAAGTGAAAATAAGTTATCTTTGTATGTTTATTGTAATTTGGTTCTTGACTGTTGGAAGTTATAAAATAAAACTAACAATAAAATAATCAATCAATAATTTTGATCAAGGTTCGATTTATTGATAACCTATATACCATAGCCTACATGATCTCCGTGTAAAAACTGATGGAGCAAATATATCAATTAATGAATTTGGATATTTCAACTATTTAACCAAGCCAAACTGAAAATACAATAATTGATTGTTAACCATAATCATTTATATCACGTAAAATATAATAAACGGTATCCGCATTCTGACTCACACTTTCTCCCATAAGTTTGTCAACAACCTTTAGCATGTGTACGCGGTGAGAGTAAATATACGGAAATGGGATTTGTACAATTTTGTTCAGAATTTAAAGGACTATAACAAAACGAATATATCCACTCAAAACTCAAACTCGAAAATTTTGACGAAAACAATACTTTCTTCATATACTATGGTATAGGGGGAGAAAGTAAAAATTCAAATGTGATAACCGCTCAATCTATGGATTAAACTATGTTTAATTTGAACAAAAAAGGCTAAAAGTGATTCCTATGGACGAGATTTCACGCAGGAATCTCAAAGCCAAATATTATAACATATTAATTCCAATTTGGAATTAAATTAAATTCCAAATTGTACTTTGGTATTGAACCACGGCTTTCATCCCTCGGTACGTTTTAGCGACACAACTTCGGAGCAAGAATTTGTTGAATACAATCAAAACCTGTCATGACAGCAGTGTAAACATTGTAGACTGACAAACTAAAGAACATGACATTTGAGTGATCCTAAGGATTACAGCCGCCACCCCGTAAGACCTTGGATTGAACCCTCAACGTTATTCCCAGTCATAAATCAGCAGTCAGGACTTCCCTTAGGTAAGGGGTGAGGGAAGCCCGCGGGGAATCCCTAAAGATGGAATGCCCGGGTTTACAAGCGTTCCAAAACTTTGTAGAGAACGAAATGGGCCCAGAAAACATATCATCGTGGAAAAGATTTAATAAAATAGCTGTCCTGACTTTGCTTCGATGTGAAAAAAATTTGTTTACGTATAAAAAAATATACATAAACACGATATAAATAAATTGATCAATGTCAACACGATGTCCTAAGTAGTAAATACAGTTTTCATAATTTATTTTTGTAAAAAAATACAACCGACTTCAAACGCTCTAAAAAGAATGAAATAATTTCAATAAAGTAAACTTTTGTATTAGGCAAGCTCACGTATTTTAAGTCGGCGCGGCTCTATGATGATTTTTGATACAAAATTGAAATAGGGTGTCCATATTGCAGGTGACTATCTATAACTAAAGGTGTTAATCTGCATGTCTTTTTCATAACTATGCGTTGTTAATTGTTATTTTATTACCGTAATCAGAGATCGGCATTGTAGTGGTATTAACGAGTATCCTTAAAAAGATTTAAACGCATTTAAATGTTTCTAACTTGGAAAAGTAACGTTTTAATACTAAACTAGCTTCTTTTCCCTATCATAATATCAAACTAAATTATTTTCCTATTCATATAGAACATTTATGTGTGTTATTTTCATAATGCATTTATTCTGAAGTAAACATAAAATACAAGAAAATATTTCCTTTAATATATAAACAAAACAGTTCAGTATGTTTTTTTTATATATTTATGCTATCCAGCTACAATTTATTGATTTTCAAAATACACACACAATATTTAATTTCAATCATATTTGCAGTTTGAGCCGCGCCGACTTGAAATACGTGAGCTTGCATAATACAGTACAAAAGTTTACTTTATTGAAATTATTTCATTCTTTTTAGAGCGTTTGAAGTCGGTTGTTTTTTTTTTTACAAAAATAAATTATTTCATGATTTTTAGTGACTATATAATTTTTATGTATTAATTACTTGTTTTTGATAAGCAAAACTGTTTGAAACAATCAAAAGTTCCACAGTACAATCATTATTTTAAAACTGCTTGAGTCACCTGTCCAGATAACATAATCAATGGTTATAAAAATAAACATTTTTAGATATTCCTTAAGAAAGAAAGAGTTGTCCATTACATTAGGCCTAATGAAAAACTAATTGTCTTTTCTAGATACATTGAAATGCCAGACATCATCGTTTCCTGCAATCGGTGTACTTCTACATTATAAAAAGAAATACAGTCTCAAGCCTTTTGGAACAATATGAAAGTCATTCCTCAGTTACCAGCACTAAAAAATCTCTCAAAAGTGGAAAATTGGTCGTTAACACGTATAGTACCTTTGGAAAATATTATATGAAAGATTGGTTCAGCTAAAAGTGGTGTAAGCCATGTAGGGGGTTTTGTTTGCTCAAGATATAGCCTAGTCGAAATTGCAAATCATCTTCCTCTAGGACTTACCGAAGCAGGCATAATAGTATTGATATGATATAGTAACTGGGTAGAGAATATTAATAAGCATTCCACATCTGCAAATGAAATATGTAAATGAAAGATTGGTTCAGCTAAAAGTGGTGTAAGCCATGTAGGTGGTTTTGTTTGATCAAGATATAGCCTAGTCAAAATTGCAAATCATCTTCCTCTAGGACTTTCCGAAGCAGGCATAATAGTATTGATATGATAAAGTAACTGGGTAGAGAATATCAATAAACATTTCACATCTGCAAATGCATGTTTAGTAATTAAAATATTTAACACTTTTAAGACAAATGACGATTATGCACTGTCACACTTCTTAGGTCGTGTAAGGAATAATTGCATTTAATTTATATTTAGACCTGTTTTACGAATGCTTTGGTTTTCACAATACACCTTTATTTGTCAATATCATACAGCTATTCACTGAAACATATATGTTTTTGTAAGTCAGAATATTCAATACTAAAAACAGAATTACTCTATTCACAAATCAGGTCAAACGTTAGAATACATTTTTATAGTAACCAAAACAAAATGAATTTTTCTCAATGTAATTCATTTAGGCTCCATGGCAAGAAATAGTTTATTGATCAATATGAAGCAACTGTTTCATGAAGAATTGTCTGTAGCTTCATTTAAATGGTGTCAACTAACAGCTGTAGGAATGTTATTATTATTTATTGCCTTCTCTGCACAAATGTAAACAAAATAAATGTTGAATATTTAAGGTTTTCAGAATTTTTCACCGAAACAAATATTATACTTAAACATAATATAATAAGGTACCAAATAGAAACTCTCCTGGTTATTTTGGTGGTGGAACCACACTGATCGGTAAAAGAATCACAGATAAATTGGTGAACATACATAAAAAAAAAACATCGCCACAAACAAATTGAGAACCTCCTCCTTTTGTTGGTAGTGGGGAAGTCGGTTAAAAATATAATCTTAAGAGGTATAAAAGGACATTCGAGTAAATGGGTATTGATTGCACTGGATTCATTTTTCTTCGGAAACAAGTTTTGGACACCATTAAATAGCCTACAAGACCAGACAAATGCCAATAGTATTTTGAATAACTAAACAACAACAAAAATCCATTTTTACAAACTTTTAAAATTAGATAATCAATATTAATTAGATTAATTAGCTTTAGATAATCAGTATAAAAAATATTGGTTATCTAATTTTAAAAGTTTGTCAAAATGAAGTTTATGTTATTTGTTAAATTTGTGTAATTGCGGTTGGTTGATAAGATACGCTCAGCAAAATTTGACTTCTTGGGTATTTATTGTTACTTGGCTTATGTGCTCTTTAAAGCTATATCCAAACGGACGTCCTGTCTAACAAATGTAAAATTGTTCACATTAAGTGCAGTTAATCTTTTATATGACAGTCATTATGCTCTTTATCTTCGATTATTGTATTGGTCACCTATCATATTCGAAGTGTTATTTTTGCCAATTTTGTATTCATAGTTTAAAAAGTGTTTCTTACTGTTCTTGCACGACGACTCACGTAAAAATCATCTCATTTTGATGAAATTTGAAAAAAAAACTTGCAAACGTATTCGAATAGGTATTATCGGACTATGAGAACGGGGGTTTATCGAGTAAAAATGGGGGCTTCTCGTTTTTTACCCCGAAAACCTTAAACTTCACTAATTTCTTTATAATCCATTTTATAGAGCTTAAAAAGCTAATAATTTAGTACACTTAAGCGGTTTTGTACGTCAATAGCTACGGATAAAATTTTTAAAAAGCTTTTAAAATTTAATTTAGGTATATGTCATTCATGGAAAACAGGTAAACTTTTGTAGTTTGCTTGCTTATTGATATGTTGATAAAATTTGACAAATTTATCTATTTCATACAAAGTTATATACATTTCATAAATTCATACTTAATTGCCTTCCCAGTAGCAATAAACCTAAATGATTGTAAAAATGTAGTGTTATTTTATTATGGATTTAATCTGACAACTTTAAGGTAATTTTTAAGTGAAAATCCAACTAGGAAATTGGAAATGCGATTAGTCTGCAAACAATACTAAAACCTATTTCTTGCGATCCATTAAAATGATAAATCTACATTGGATTTTGCTAACGGATGCTAAATCCTTCAAATATCTCTGAAATTTATAAAATTATACACTGAGTAACTAATTCGCGATTTACTTTGAAAAAAGTAAAAAAAAACAAGTAAAGTCAAATAGTGTTTTCAATTGTTATAAATTTTTAAATTTTGTTTATGTAACAATACAGGCTAAAAAAGTTAAGGTTATATAAAGCTTAAAGTTAGTATGGTTTTATTTCCATAGGGATAACATGGAAACTTGGAACGTTTTGATTGGATTGTTAAAGATGTCTTGGTATTCATACGCGTAATAAATTATCAATGAGGAAGCTGCGTTTAAAATTTCATTAATTGGTATTCATTCAGTAGCTTATAAGAAATCGCGTTTACGAATTCATGTTTTCACTTTTACATATTAGAAATGATTGATTGATAAAGTACTGAGTTTATATGAATCTTGATAGGTACTCTCATTTTTCAGGGGAAGGCCGCGTAAAACGCCTTCTGGGCCGTGACAGACAGACTGACAGACAGAAATTGAGATAAGACTTGTTTTGGCTTCTTTAATGTATAAAACGTAAAACTAACCAAAAAATATATAATTCTGAGCAATGTACAGACAAAACTCCAATTTTATTTATATATATGAAACCAATTTTGGTTTTCCAAAATATCGTTTTCGCTCATTATAGTTGTTAAACGTACTTAGCTTAAAATAATACAATGTATTATATTATATTTGAAGTAGGTACATGACTATCTATCGCAAACTGACGTTTTAAGGGTAATGATATCACTTACTAAGCTGTTTCCAATTTGTACATATAAAGGCTGAAATATTAAGGTTTTATAATGATGAAATGTGTGACTCATTAATCTACACGTGTAGTCGATTTCATAATGAACATGTCGGGTTTGATAAACAATGAACACGAATACTTGAAACCTAATGTGGTTTATTGTATGTTTTAACATTTTTGAGAGTTTTAAGATGCTTATCGGAATGTTACCACTTTATATAATCTACAATCGCATCTAAAAGCCATTTATAATAAAATATTAACTGAAACAATTTTTTTTATTTGTACCGTTAAGTAAATATTAATCACTTGTATAATGAAGTGCTGTACATGATTAACTTATGACAGGGTTTACCTTCTATTTCTAACTACCGGTAACTGATCTACTCTCATAGTGATTTATAACATTGTAGATTCTTATAGAATCGTTCTACAGTATCAGAAACAAAAGAAAAGTTAATTTTAAGTGAAGATTTGTTTACATCGGTTTATTTAAACCAGAAACCCTTCTACATTCATGTCCATATTTTTTAATTTCATAATAAATTTACCAATAATTCCTTAAATTAAGAGTGTCGTAAACCATAGCCGGCTAAACAGGCAGTGTAACCGTTGGTGTAACCTTACCTCTTGTTAAATTCCTATTCCTACGTTCTTTTGCCCCTGTACTTTAACTCCCCGGATTTAAGAAACAGGAATATGATTGATGCTGTTAATAGAATCACTCTAGAGACATTTACCAAATTTTGAGTTAACTAAACACAGTTTTCATTTGTGCTAAGTTATTTGCTGAATTGGGATTACATAAAATTCTGATACCACTAGTCCGTATAAATGGGTAATTTGGGTTGGTAATCAAAAGAAATTTAAAAATACCAACAAGATCGGTTACTAGTAAACCGGAGCACAGAGAATATAGCCTACAATTTATGGGATGGTCTATTGTCTGTGACCGGAGACATTGAAATTAGCACGTTTCATGATTATAATTTATAATAAAATGCCACAGCAATTAGGAAGGGTGTTTTATAGCGGGCGGATATAGCCACAAGATTTGTTCTACTTGATTACGTTAGGCAGCACTAAAATAATAGTAACTGTTTTGCGTTGAAGTTGTTTAATGCCCTCCAGGGAATGTTGAAACGCGAACTATAAACGTATCAAAACTCAAGTGAGAAAAAATACCATTTCGACAGCAGGACATTGTGCAAGAGGCTTTTAGCGCGCTCTCTTTTAACTTTGGTTTGATCTAGGCCTATTTCAATTTTAAAAAATATTGTTGTACATAGCCATAGCCCATACAGTATCCAAAAGTCAATAGTATGATAAAACTACATCGGTTAACTAGAAAACCAGACGAAAGTCTGATAGTATAGCAAAGGTTTTATTAGACATTTCTCAACAATGCTCGGATCTTGCCATTCAAGCTGTACACACTCTAGCCTATATTTTACATTACATTAGTTACCTGGGTGTCCTACTATTTGCCACCAGTGTCGTTTGCCACCAGTGTCATTTGCCACCAGTAGGGTCAGTTCCTGGAATTCCCGCCGTGGCCGTTCCTATGAGTCATAACCATGTAGATGTACATATAGTTTTTTTGGATATTAAATAAATGTTTATAACTCCAGTTACAATTGTGAATTGTGAAAATTCATTTTACCATCTTGTTCGGCAAAAGAAAACGCAAATTTTGAGTCCAAAATCACATAATCGCAAGTTAAACAGTATAGGCCTATCTATGATAAGGTATTTTAAGCTATTTGAATATTCCTTACATGACCTAAGATTAGATAAATAATACAAAAATAACATTTGGCACAGTATACAACGCATCAATGAGATTAAATCCCATTAAAATACTTGAAAAGACGCAGTTTCAGTGTTTAGTATTTTGTGAATATACAGAGTGAAGAACTTAAATGTACCACCTTTGCTATCTCAGAAACTATTCGATTTAGAGAAAACATTATATGGGTAATTTCAACTACTATATGACATTCAAAAATATGAATTCTCTTCCTTTAAAGTCTGATATTTTCAATATTTAACTTAAAAATTTCTTATCGGACACCTTGTATTTTATGACGATTTTAGACTGTAATTTTTAAAATGTTTTCAGTTTAATTTTTTCTATAAAGCTACGTAAATGAGTTACAGCGTGTAAAATTTTGATTAAAGTAGCTTTTTGTTACATTCAGCATGATATAGCTCCTAAACGAGTAAGTTTGGAGAAAAAGTGCAAAGAATAAATTATAAATGTTTTAAAATTACATCTACATTCTAAAAAGATCATAAAATATATTGAAATTATTCCTTTGAGACGTTAGGTTCATGTAACAGTTATGGGATAAACAAAAGACCTAAAAACTGTGTTTTGTTTGTTATAATAAGTTATCTTGATGTTCTTTGGAAAGAATCCTTCATATGTCGGTATTATGTTGTGTAAAATTCTGCCTGATAACTTCTTAAAAATAAGCAACTAAAACATTTATGTTAACCAAGTCCGTCTATCATCTAAATTAATTTGTTGATTGAATGTGGTTTTATTTAGTACGTTATTAGTTTGCATTTTTATTTAGCCGCTTTAGATATAGTTTGTATTAAAGATTCATTTAACTGTGATGTTATTCTTATGCAATTTGCATCTACTTATATATAATTCAACTTTGAAAATCTTTGTAGAACTAAATCTAGAGTTCTACTGGACCGATTTATTAATTAGCGGGTCATTGGAAAGCTTAATTCATGTAGATTTGCAAAGAATTATGAACGTTTTTAGCGAATTAATAAATTAGACTAACACTTTGTAAAACTTGGTGAGAACAGCACTAACACTACAAGACCACAGATAGGATGAGCGTTTCCGTCATGTATTTCCCTACTCCTAGAGAGAGTGTTGGAATTTTTACCATAAAAATGTTGCAAGAGAGGGTGAAAGTGTGAATTATAGATATTCCTTGGTCCATCGGCCGGTGCCTAAGAGGGGTGATGACCCACGGACTAGGGTTGGGGCTGATGACTCACCCAGCCAGGTATAAAGTGGTGGCAAATGACACAAATCCTAGAGTGGTAGCAAATGACACTGGTGGCAAATAACACATATTCAGTTACCTGTGGAATCCTCAGGGTCCGACTCCGGCATATCGTCAGTCTCCGCGTAGTGCAGCACCTGGTAGAGGAAGTCGATGTACCTCGCGGCCAACTTGAGTGTCTGTATCTTGCTCAGCTTATCCGAAGGTAACGTAGGGATGATCTTCCTCAGGGACGCAAATGCTTCGTTCAAACTCTGCGTGCGTTGTCGCTCCCTCACGTTCGCCAACACCCTCTGGTTCTGGAGCTCCTCGGACGACGCGGTGGAGTTCCTTCTCCTCAACTTTCCTCCGGAGACGTTCCATTCCTGAGAGCGTTTCCTCTTCCGGTCTTCCGGTGGAGTGACCTGAGGGGTGTAGTAGCCAGGGAACATGTCCGGGAGTCTACAAGGTAGAAGGTCCTGGGTGTAGTACCTGTCGTCTGGAGGTCCGCTCAGGTCCATCAGGTGAACCTCCTCTTTCACGTACGAACTGGAAGCCATGTGTCCGAGAGAGCCGGGCATTTTACATCACACACACTTACACATACACTATGAAATTCCTTCAAATATTTGTTCAAACAATAAAGTTAGAAGCGAACAAAGAAAACTTAAACTCGAAAGATTTCACGACACTGGCGATGTCGCAGGCAGAGGCAGGTCGTTGGAGCAACTGGTGAAATATTTTAAGATCGAAGGAGGGGAGTTCCGGAGGGGGGGGCTGGGGAGTCCCTCCCACTGTAAGAAATGACAGCGGACTCCCGTGGCGCCGGGGGATGGGCGCACAAAAACTGGGCCGTGTCTTCCCGCCATCGCGCCTGACGACGGCGAAACGGCGGCAAAAACTTTATGATGGTCTGTGTCGTTTTGCGACGCATTGCACTTCTCGCCGAGTTGGACAAGTGTTAAACTTGTTTACTTGTGATGCAGAAATTTGCAAACTTGATTTCAGTTTACATGTTGTGAAAAGTGGGTTGTAATTGAAAGGACGTGTGAAAATAAGGGGACTATGTTTACTTAAAACCACGACATGCTATTTACTGTTTGTGGTTAACAGATTACCACAATTTGGTAATACTGTACTCTTTTATAGATTTTTATCCTCACTGACTAGTTGAAGACAGTTTTTCAAGTTTTTTAAGTTATTGTTTTGCAGGTTGGACATTTAGTAGTTTATACGAATATAAGAATAATATACGGTAATATACGAATTTGCAAACTACATTTCAATTAGGATGTTTTTTTTTAAATGCCTTTTGATTGAAAAACTTGACAGTCAACTGTAATCTAGACTCTGACAGATTGATTTGAATTATATTTGTCATACATGCCACATTGTATTTATACCAAACTGAAAAGAAAACATATTGTAAGTTTATGTCAAATCAATTTTATATCCTAAAAAAATAAATTTGAAGTCTAATTTTGACAGTGGCACTTGGCGAGAGGCTATTTCAACTGAGTTATTTTTAATTTTAAAAACTGACCATGCTTATCCGTATAGGTGGGTATATTTTCAGTTACCATAGTCAATAAAATATCATGCATTGGATTAACAACCCCATAAAAATAGTTAGGCCTTCTCAAAAACAAAATCGTTTGGTTTTACAATTGTTGCTCAGCACGAACAGTAATTTAAGATGTTGATTTATCTTGTAGAAATTAATACGCCAGTTAAAATAACCGTACAACAACAATCTATTATTGTATCAAATTAAATAATACAGTTTTGCCATTTCAATACTAACGTTACATCATGATTATGTCAATATTGAATTTTAGGCAAACTAGTAAGACAATTATGATAATCTTTTATATCGAACAATGTTTGGAAGTTTCTAATATGTGAGAGGTAGGGATTCCCTGGCTAAGGGTGTGCTAGGGACGGCCCCAGGATCAAAGGAGAGCCGCGAAAAGGACTTCCCCCCAGGAAATCCCTGATTCCCTACCAAGAAAACAGCCACCTGGCCCTAGCACCTCTGTTGGATCGAGAAATCTGCAATAGAACAAAGGCCGTTTTGTATAAAAGGAGTATGAAATTAAAATGTGAAAAAAGATTAAAATGTTTAACTGTTTCTTGGCGATTTTGTATAACGTCATGCTCCCAAAAATCAAATAAATATAACACATTAGGTACAAGGACAGACGGTTTACATGACATTGATACATTTTGAACAAAACATCGATTAAAACTTACAAACAAACTGATTGTTCGTAATTCAAAAGTATCGAAAACAAATTCCTTTTGTACAAAGTTTAATTGAAACCTATTTGCACATACGGGGACTCAGCTCTAGGGGTAAACTTTAGAACTCTACTATAAATAAAATTCTGAGATCTCAATAAAACTGATACAATTTTACAAGTACCATACTAGAATCAAGTTATCAATCAAGAAAAAAACATTTAAGAGAAAAACCTACAAAATTAAATTTATCAAATAAAATTTGAAGATTGCATAATTTCCTGGTAGTATATCTACACAAATGCCGTAGTAAAAAAAAAAATAATAATAAAATCTAATTTACACTAATAGCATTAATAATACTTACCTTAACAATAACTACTGTAATTAACAATAATTGTACTTAGGTAAACATTGTTTCTTCATAATATTGCCAAACGGCTAAATCATTATCCAAAATAAACTTATAACACACTTCTTAAAAAAGTTCTATATTTCGGCATTAGCCTTCTTCAGGAACAAACAAACAATAACAAATAGAAGTGTTTACCACTCTGAATCAGATGGTTTTAGCAAAAATCCAAAATACATATAGGCCTAATTTATAAAGAAGTAAAAAAGAAAATTTTGATAGAGAGAAAGATATAAAGTATGTTTTATATACTATCTCAAATTTAGACCGGAAGGTGTTTTAGATTTAAGTATTAATAAATGTATTACTCCACGATGATGCTTGCTTATGTTTGTTCCTGAAGAAAACTAATGCCGAAATATAGAACTTTTTTTTAAGTGTGTGATAAGTTTATTTTGGATAATGTACTTAGGTAAAATAACTAATCTAATGCTATAATGTCCCTAATAAATTAGGAAAAATTGTTTGTTGAATAAGTCTGGTATAGAGTTTTAATTTAACAATTTAACGTTTATATTTAACTAACTGTTGCCCGCGGGCTTCCCCCGTTTGACTTCAAATGTATTAATAAAACTATTGATTGCCGTACCAATTTGTGTGACATTTCGAAAGGCTTTTCATGGTTCAGGGCGGAGCCCTAGTAGAGTATTAAAATAAAAGATTACTATGTCCTTTAAGCCTGTGGTTATATTGGCTCTACTCAGGCAACAACAGCTCAATTGGTCAAGTAGTTTTCACATTATTGGCATACTCCAAACATTCATATCTATAAAATTAGTCCCTTCAATCCAAGATCCATCCAAGTCATTGACTTGATCAGTAATGCATTAAATTTATTAACAGTTTCACATAAATTTATTTTAGGGAAAACAGACACGATACTTTTTTAGGTTTTGGAAAATATAAAGTCAATAAGTTGATTAGTTATGCACTTAAATAAAATTGTTCTATTTTCTGAATATGTACGTCTGTAGGTACATATTCATAAATTGTTCGAACAATTTAATAACATTTGTCCTTTTACAAGTCAGAATGTAACTTATAGGTTGTCTACCAGTTTAGATTTAGATTGATACAGCAATGTCTTTGCTGCATATATTAATATTTTTGCCTTTATACAATTTCCTCTTTGGCTTTACTTAAATCAGCCGAGTAGTAGATAAAATTGAATACAAAAATGCTTAAAAAATCAAATAGTGTTGTCTTCAAACGGGAGGGAAGACAAACAGTTTCGTTTTGAACAATTAGTTACAACAATGTAAAGTGTGAAGAAGCGTTTTGGTGTTTCCGGTACAGATGTGAGGACGCCACAAGAGCGCCAAAAACAAGTTATCACTTAGAATAGAATCACAAAGTGGAATATAACATATTTATTATGTTTACCGCGATCTAAAGAAACCATACGGAAAATAATCTTTGGTTTGGTAAATTATAAAGACAAACAGACAGGCATTTAATTTCATTCGTGCGTTGCACTTATGTCGTTTAAACTATTAATATGGTTTTATCTAGAAATTTAATATGGCAAATTAATTTATTGGTGATAGGCCTGGTGAGTAATATTTCTTATTAACACTTCAAATATGAATATTCAAGTTACTTCAAATATGAAATACGTTTTTGAACACCATATAAATAGGGATGTAAATAATTTAAAACTTTTTCCACTAAAATACTCAGGACTTTACAAGGTCTTTACTTTTAAATGAGGTACAACAAGACCTCTCTTTACGTTTGAAAATTCCCCAAAAACCAACCCCACCCCCTAAAATCTGCTCTTTGGGGTGCTTTTTGGGGTTTAAAATCATTTAGCTAAATTCATTGGGGGTCAAAATATGGGGTTTTAGTTTTGCAATTAGGTTTCTATTTGCTTTCATATTACAGTAGAGCTAAGCCGGGCCGGGTGGTCTGGGACACCATGTATAGTGAACATATTTTTCAACTGTGTAAATTGCTCTGACCGTTTGAAATAAATAAAAATTTGATTTTACAAGTCTTAAAACGCAAAAAGATATATATCTGAGTAAAATGAGGCCCATAGCAGTATTGCACAAGAACGGTGAAAGGATACGAAGAAATCATACGATCTAACATAGGGCTACAAAGAACGCATTTTAAATCTGTGATAACATTTGTTGATCTAACAGCAAAATCTTCTATTCTACAAATCCTACTTTAGTTTCCATTATAGTGGCCAGGTGTGAAGGGAGAAGCACCTGGTCAGGTGGGAGAGGGGGCGGGGCTACAGGTGAACCAATCAGGTAAGCGCTTTCTAACAAAATGTCTGCAACAATGTAAGCCTACTAAACTGCTCATTGGGAAGGTTCTAAAAAAAATTCAGAATAACTTACGTGTACAGTTTCAAGTCCATTTTAAGCTTGAATTCATGGCACAATTTTTAATTTTTTTATAATTTTCTCTTAATTCTTTCATTATAAAAAAAAAACCCCGAACCCAAAATAAATAAATAAATAATTATACACAACTTCTCCGTTTTAAGTATAAAAAGTATAAATATATATTACGTTTAACATATTTTATCCATATTTAAGAGATAACTTAATTTCGCAAATGATAACGGGACATCTCGTATGTGTTTGTTCTTGAAGCAACGTGAAGTTAAATTTTCTCCCTAATAACTAATCAATTGCATTATTCTCCGATAAATCATAGGCATATTCCTGTTTGATTTAACCACAAGCTTTAACACTTCTACAGAGAAAATGACAGATATTTTGGGCAAACACGAAAACTGTTTCTGTTTTAGACAAATTTTCAAAGAAATAATTCTAGGGATTAAAGAGTAAATAAATCGTGTAGTTTTCCCTGATAAACTGGGAAAGAATATATATGTTGGTGTATTGATTGAATGAAAATTCATTAAACAAGCATTTATTATTGTGTGCAATATTATTTCCTATTTCAAACTAGAAATAAGCAATATCGTATTCATACACATTAAAATCGTCTAAACTCTGCATAACTATCGCAGAAGTCGAGAGATTGTATTTCCAGTTTCTCTAAACTCAATTTCCGCTCTGGTGCAGCTGCAACTTTTCGCGCAGGAAAATATTTCTCGAAAGGAATGAGAAACTACACCCGACGACCACGGGGTGCGACCTTCGGCCTCCGTTCTTCCAAGAATAGAGGACATTTTATTGTTTGGAGGCGGCGGCAATA